GCTGGCTGAGGAATTCTGGGAGTTGAAGTCCACAAGTCTTAAAGTTGCCAAGGTTGGACACCCCTGCTATAGGGGGAGGAGTGGGTTCCCCCTGCAGCAGCTCAGATTATCTCTATGGAGAAGGAAGCGTTCGAACGTCTTTGTTCCACGTGTAAGTTTTCTGCTGTCCATGAAGCAAATGGTCCCATGTGGAACTCCTGGGATGTGACTTGGCAGGAAAAAGATGGCTAGTTATGGCACAGGCTCATTTTGCGCCAGATATTCCTGCAAAGCATACCGAACACACCGCCCCACCAAAGCATCCCTGAGAGAGAGAAAATGTACTGGATCAGGAATATGGATCCCTGCTAAAAACTAATGGAAATTAAGGCCTGAATTACGTGTAAATGGCTGTCCAGTCTCTTCTTGAAAAGTGATGGGGCACCACAACCTCTGGAGACGAGCCTTTCCACTGCTTGTTCTCCTAAGCCTTCTGTTTGTGAGGCTAAAGCTGGATGGAGCTCCTGTTTGAACAAACCAGCTTGGTTTGCACGTTATATTTAAGCTTCATTACTGAACCAGTCCATTTTGTGGGTTCACATATTATATTGAAAGGGCTTTATCTGCACACTATATTCAGACAGATGTAATCAAAATTAATATCTTGCATAAATGCAGGCAGGAGACCCTGAATTGGACATGGTTGATTGCGTGGCGTGAACACAGAACGTTTTGCTCCTGGGCTAATAAAATTTCCTTTTTAAAGATGGTAACTCCACCTTCTTACAGTGGCCTGGTGGGCATGCAGAAGTCACCCTGCATGCTCACCAAGCATGTAAAGGTTGGGTAAGACTTGGAATTCTTATTCTTTTTTCTCTGCACCTTCTAGTTTTATATTTTTAGTTTGTATTTTTTTACTCTGATAGTAGTAATTTTAATAAAAAAAGAAGGCACCTGCCAATCTATTTGCAACTGAAGCCTTCCCCCCCCCACACACACACCCCGCCTCCCCGGGTTCAGGGAGGGAAGCTCCTTGCAACAAACCCTTTGTAAGTGATGTGCATCTTTTTTTACGCAGTCAGAACACTTCAAGACAACCTCACAAAAAGTGGCCCGGAAGTACTGGTGGAAGAACATGAAGATGATTGCAATCATCTGCGTCATTGCTGCCATCATCCTTATTCTCATCATCCTGCTGGCCACCGGGGTCATCCCGTCTTAAGTTCCTTTCCCACCACTGGACTTTCCCCACTCATCATTCCCACGTTTTTTTGTTTTGTTTTTAATTTTGCCCCCATTATCTCCTCCCTTAATAGCTGAAATCCGTCACTGAATCACGAGGCCCTTGGCCAGAGGTCATGATCCAGAGATTCCGGTTGCTTCCCTGCCACACCTGCCTGTCCCCACAAACCTCCCTCCCACATCAGGACCAAAAGGCTCTCTCAGCTGTACGTGTGAACGCAGCCCCAGGAGGCAGGGACTCTTTCGGCTAGATCAGCGGTGGCGAACCTTTTCACCACCGAGTGCCCAAACTGGAATCCATGTGCATGCGTCGGACCAGCTGGCTGGTGCATGCCTGCCTGCCTGTTTGCTGGCTGTTTTGGGGGCTCGTTTCAGGCTGTTTTGGTCTGAAAAACAGCCTGTTCTTTGGCCATTTGTCAGGCCATTTTGGGGGCATTTTCAGGCCATTTTCCAGCATTCTGGCACCCACCAAGACCAGCTGGCTGGAGCACACGTCTGCCCCAGAAACCAGAAGAGCAGCTGGCGATAGTGTGCGTGCCCACGGAGAGGGCTCTGCATGCCACCTCTGGTACACTTGCCATAGGTTCGCCCTCATGGTGCTAGATGATTCCCTTCCCAGCAGAACATGGTAAAATTCTGATTCTGCAAGTGCCTCAGCCGCTGCTGGGAACAGACCTTGCCAGCCTTCTCGGTTCCAAACGAATCTGGCCAAATTCCTGGAACGGGCAGTGGAGCTTCCCCAGGAAGGATCCCAACCTTATGCGGCCACTCTGGGTGTTCCTTCCCTTCCAGGAAGCCTCATCCTCGGATCTCCTCGCTTTGTGTGTACCTTTCGTCATCCCAGATGGAGAAGGGAATGACTGAAACTCAACTGGCCATAAAGATGTTTTTGAAATATTGTTTTAAATGAAAAATGAAGACGCAAGTCCAGTTCAGGTTCTCTTAAACGTTGACTTCTCTCTTGGGAAAGTTAGCTCCTCAAGATGTCAGCTCCCAAGGCCCCGACTCCTCCAATTGGGACCCCCGAGGGGCACCGAGAGGTTTTGCCCCTCTGATCATTCCCTTTGATTGGCATGTAGTCTTCCTTCGGCTACAGCCTTTTCTGATCTAGAGCCTCTGATCTTTGAGGAATTTCTAAGAGATGTTTATTCACTTTTGCATATTTGATTTACTAACTGTAATAAAAGTATTTATAAATCATTGGCTGCTGCACGGATCTGTTTAGAAGGAAGCTGCCTTGGTGGCTCACTTCAAGGCACCTGGGTCCCCCTGCATTTCACACACACTGTTGTAAAAGTGTTTGGCCCCTGGCCACCTACTGCTGAAAGTACCTAAGAATACTTAGCATCTGTTGTGCCTCAGAATTTCCCTCCTTAGTAACCCCCTTGCAAAGTAGGTTTGCAATTGTCTGATGGTAATAGCGAGGATAGACACCTTATAAACATCTCCCGCAGCTTAGGCAACGGCACGTGTATCACGGATGCCTGCGAAGACTTTCTGCCCCGGGAAGAAATGCTAAATCCTTATCCAAGAATGATCGCATTGCTATAGAGGTGTATACCACAGACACCCCCCACCCCACAACCGAAGAGAGGAAACCGATTAGAGAGTAAGTCAATCCCCTCAAAGTTACGTCTCCCTCATCCTTCTCTTCCCTAGGCTGAGCATCCCTCCTAGCTCCCTCAATCGCTCATCATACAATTTGACTCCAGATCCTCTGTTGTTGTTGCCCTTCTTTGCACGCTTTCTAGGCTCTTCAACATCCTTTTCATGTTGTGGTGACCAGACTGGGTGCAGGATTCCAAGTGCAGCCTCACCCATGTGGTATACATCTTGATTCTATCCCTTCGTTGGTGCAGCCCAGGGTTGCGTTGGCTTTTTTTGCAGCTGCAGCCCATTTGCTGGCTCATAAATGGTGGCCCATTGGGACACCTAGATCTCTCTAGAAACAACACAGACCAGTGTCTGTACTACACGGAGTAAATTTTTGCTTGAGGGGGATGGAGAGGGTGACAGCAGACCGGGGCAAGATGAGAGGTGTCATTTCAGGGATCTCAAGAAGGCAGGCAGACCTGGCAGCTGGCTACAAAGCTGTCACGTCGCCTTATCTCCTCTGCAGGTATCACGTCTTAAAGGTCCCCAAAGTCTCTGGGTGCAGCGAGGAGAGGAAGTGCCCAGAGGCCACGCCTCCCAGCCGCAGAGCTCCTCCCCCAACAGGGCGGGGCTCAAAAGACACACCCAGGAAAAGAGTCCAGGCTCCTCACCCTCCTATTCCTTTTATTGCACACAGACCTCCGGTTTGCCCTGAGTAGCGCCAGAGAAGATTTTGAAGGGGAGGCAAGTCGGGTCGAGGAGCAGAGCTGAAGAGCACTGCCCAAAAGCATCTCCGGAGCGAGAATCTGGAGGCGGCCGAAAGGGGCTCCGGGCCAGAATCTTGGCGCTGAGCTCGCCCGGATGGAGACCTGACCTGGCGTCCAGCCGAGGCAACTGCTGACCGTCCTGGCTTGAGCCAACCGCCCCCCGCCAGTCCTCCTCCTGCATCCCCAGAGGGGCCAGGAGAGCCGAGCCGGTCATAGCAAGTGCTTGTTGCGCTTGGGAATGATTCTGCGGACAGTCCTGCGTTCGGAGATGTTGCGCTTCACCTTGGCCCCCCCCGCAGGAGGCCCATCCACGTTGAGGGAAGGGCTGGAGTGGGACTTCTGCAAACTGGGGCAGGTCTCGGCCACGGCTGCCAGCCGGGCCTCCCATTGGTCCAGGTCTTCTGTGCTGCAGCCAAGCTTCACCTCCAGGAGCTTCACGTACGTCTCGTAGCGGCGTTTCTGCATGGGGCGAGAAGGGGCCAAAGGGTCGGAATCCGGCTCCATGGCGGAAAGAGAGGAAGCCGTGGAGACTCTTCGCTGGAAATGCTGAACCGGAACGTTTCCGGCAAAGCTCTCCCGGGCTTGGACCCGTTGTAGGATGCTATTTGGGGGCACAGATTTTCCCCCCTTCCTCTCTCGTATCCCACAAATAGGGAGGGACACAGCGAACATCTCTGTCGCTTACAACTTGGTATCTAAAATTCTGTATTCATGGTTGTGTGTGTGTGTGTGTGTGTGTGTGTGTGTGTGTTTTTGCACCAAGACAAATTCCTTGTGTGTCCAATCACACTTGGCCAATAAAGAATTCTATTCTATCCTTATTCTATTCTTATTCTATTCTTATTCTATTATTCTCTTCTCTTCTCTTCTCTTCTCTTCTCTTCTCTTCTCTTCTCTTCTCTCTCTCTCTCTCTCTCTCTCTCTCTCTCTTTCTCTCTCTCTCTCTCTCTCTCTCTCTCTCTCTCCTGACTTGAACAGATAACTAGAGGTCGTACAGAGGAAGAGGGATATTCTGAAAGATAACAGCCACGTGAACAGAAAAGTGGCCAGGGACAAGTACTGCAGAGAGATGGATCTGCAAATTCCTTAAAAATGACACTGCCATTCTCAACAGAGGGGTGTGTGTGTGTGTGCGTGCCATTCAAAACTCAATGAGCCGTTACCTCCCACTGTAGGAAAGGTGCCACCGGAGGATGGCCCTCCCCAGCAGACCAGACCACCCACTCGCCCCCACCCCCCCCCCCCCCCCTCTCCAGGGGTGGGATTCTACCAGTTCGCACCTATTCGCTAGAACTGTTTGTTAACATTCTAAGCATTTCGGAGAACCGGTTGTTAGAAGAAATTACTGGGCTAATCCTGTAAGAAAGGCAGGAAGGAAACATTCTGGTGTTGCTTGCAGAAACTGCCTCTCCGTTAACCCTTATTACTCAGGAACTTCTCTGGAGTTCCCCCCCACCACTTTGCTGGTACTTTGCTTGTGTGGAGTGACCATTCAAAGTTACAATGGCACTGAAAAAAGGGACTTATGACCATTTTTCACACTTCTGACTGTTGCAGCATCATGAGAGGCCATGCGAGGAGATGCGTGCCTCGATGTGAGTGATGTTGAGTTGGCCACGCCCAGCCAGTGACATGACCACCAACTCATGTCCACCCAGTCACATGACCACCAAGCCACGCCCACCATCTAAGCCACACCCACAGAAACGGTTGTTAATTTGAATCCCACCCCTGCCCCCTCCCCCAGAACGGACGGACTCCACCCACTCACCTCGTAGAGCAAGTACTCCTTCCTGAGTTGGTACTCCTCCAGATCCCTCCCCCTCCCCCGCTTCTCGGGCAGATTCCGCTGGAGCTCCAGCAGTTCGTGGGACATCCTGTCCATGCAGGCTTCGTGGGCCAGGTGCTGGTCTTCCTACAGAGACAGGGAAAGGCTGCAGCCTGGCCCCGAGGCAGGTGCCCCAGTTCTCTCCCCCCCACCCCACCTAGGTCATCGGCTGCGCTGAGCTGTGCCACTGGAACTCCCCCCCCAAGACACAGCCACGCTTCCCCCCGCAGGGACCTGCCTTCGGTCCTGGCATTTCTTAGAGACTTCATCTAAACCACTTCCGTCCTCCGGTCACTCGACTTACTATGGAATTCTTGCAGGGAGCGGTTGGCAAAATGGGCCTTATGAATCTCCTTTGGGAGCCCACAGCTGCGGGGAAGGGTGGGGCGGAGAACATGGCTGCCACAAGGTTGATGCGAGAAATCCATGAAGTCATCTCTTCGGAAGTTCTAGAAAAGTAGAATTGGACTTTCTGAATCGGCCCAATTTGGGGAAGTAGCAAAATAAACCCAGCCACAAATGGGGAAACCATCCCTCCAAAATGTTTAAAACTGGCCCAAGTCAACATTGGGTATGAATGCATCTGCTGGATCTTTACCCACTCTCATTAAACGCGTTATGTGATCACAGCTCAATAATCCGGATCAATGCACAACACATTCCTGATCAGTTTGCCCAGGCTGCACCCCGGAGTCCCTCCTGCTCCAGGGAATCCCATTTGCATTTCCCAAGAGCCTCTTTGTGAAGAAAACTCGAGGGCGAGAGGCAGTCAGGTTTCTACTGTGTGTTGCCAAAACAGCTTTGAATAAATAATAAGATAGAAAAGAAAGTCCGAATTGTGTAGATAATTCGAACGGCATCATGACACTTTAACCACCAAGTTGCTAATATTCTGGAGTGGCCAATGTCCTGTAAGTCCAGAAATTTTCGGTCTGGATAAAAGAGACGTGCCTAGGGCCCTACTAAGGGGTCCCACAAAGAGGAAGAAGAAGGAGGAGGAATCTAGGGAAGGGTCCCCGTTTCTTATTTATCCATGATTTCCGCCGCTCTTCCACACGAGGCGCTGGGAAGGGGGGCCGGGGGGAGCTTCCTTGAGGCCCGTGGGAACTCACGGGGCTTGGAAGAGGAAGATGTGCCAGTCTGCAGTCTGGAGCCGGAAGACATTTGGCCTTTTGGTGTATTTGCTGGCTGTCTCTGCCAGGGCATGAGGTATGCCAATGAGCTCCTCCGAGCCAGACACCTCCGACTGCTGCTCATCCTGTACGACAGCCAAAAAGAAAAGCACACTCAGCATCCCTCTTGGGTCCGTCCTGGGAGGGGCAGGTACGTTCACGCAGAGGAGATGGTTTTGTGGGTGGGGGGGGGGGGGGGAAGGGGGCATGTGACGTCCAGTTGTGAACAAGCACCAACCTCCCTTGGCACCACCCACTTCCAATTTAGCTCCTCCTGCCCTCTTCCTTCTCCGTAACAGCCAGTGCTTCTCAACCTGAGCACCTTTAGGATGGCTGGACTTCAACTCCCAGAAGTCCATCTGAATTTTGATCACATGACCATGGAGAAGCGGCAAAGGTCGTAAATGGGAAAAGTGGTCATAAGTCACATGTTTCAGTGCCGTTGTAACTTTGAACAGTCACTAAACGAACTTGTAAGTTGAAGACTAACTGTATGCAGAAGCTTTAAGTAATATTTCCTGACAGTGAGAACAATTAATTGCCTCCAGAAGTTGTGAATGCTCCAACAGTTGGTAGTTTTTAAAAAGATGTTGGATAACCATTTTGTCTGAAGTGGAGTAGGGCTTCCTGCCTGGGCAAAGGGTTGGACTAGAAGACCTCCAAGGTCCCTTCCAACTCTGTTATTCTACTTTACTCTATACTCTACTCTACTCTACTCTCTATTCTATTATTTTTTTATTCCATTGTACTCTACATTCTATTCTATTCTAATTCTGTTCTGTTCTATTCTATTCTCTATTCTATTCTAATTCTAATTCTAATTCTATTTTCTATTCTATTCTTATCCACTATCTATACCCATCTATGTATCTTTAACCACTTGGAGCTACGAGTCCCCCTTTTTATCCTTCGTTCTCTTGGAGAAGACAGTCTTCCCGTCACTCCAATTTTATCCAGCCTTCCGCCGTGTCCCTAAGCAGTGGGGGGGGTCTCCCTCCTGCCTCCCTCCAGTTCCCCTCGCTTATTCTTAAGGCAGCCCCAGCAGCCCTTTCTGGCGCTTTCCTTCCTTGCACGCCAGAGAGAGTCTTCCGCCGTCAGCTTACAGCCCTTTCTCGACATCCACTGATGGGGGCGTTAAAGAGCCCATTTGCGAAGAGCCCTTGTGAGCCTCCGCCGAGGGAGGATGGGCTGTTCGGAGTCGGCCTTTAGCAGCCACACCTTCAGGGAATTCCCCCCATAGTCTGCTTTGGGTGAGCCCCCCCACGCCCCCCCCCCCCCCGTCTGTGGCCTGAGGTGGGGCAGCCCTGGAGAAGGAAGGCGCTTCCACCCCCACACACCTGGCCCCCCTCTTACCTTGAGGAAGTACAGCACCGTCCCCTTCAGCACAGCATGGAAAGTCTTCCAGCTTCGCTTTCCCCAGGGAGCTGCAGGGAGGGAGGGAGGGAGGGAGGGAGGGAGGGAAGGGCGGTCGGTTGCTTTCCTCTGGCCGGCTTGCCCTCCCCCGCTTCCTCCAGGTTGGGCAGTCCAGCGCAGGGGCCTCCAACCTCGGCCACTTTCAGCCTGGTAGACTTCAACTCCCAGAATTCCCCAGCCAGCTTCACTAGGCTTCAACTCTCTGCCTGCTTACTCTCTTGTCATCCCTTCCTCTGCAATCTCTCCACGCCAGGGGGAGCAGGAGAGAGAGAGAGAAAAAACCCAACAGGCATGGTGGAATGGGGGATTCTGGGAGTTGAAGTCCACCAGGCTTAAAAGTGGCCGAGATTGGAGGCCCCTGGTCCAGAGGGCTGGGCAGTTTGGATCTTGACCTTAGAGCGCCCTCCTCAACCTGGCACCAAGCGGCCGACCGGGCCTTCCGCAGCAGGTGGGCAAGAGGGCAAGAGAGCCAGGCCGAAGCCCCCAGCTGGCTCCCACAAGAGACGCTGCCGGCCCCGAGAACCGCCCGTCCAGGGCCACCACGCTGCTGCACTCACTCTTCTTGCCATCGGCCTCCGCGTGGACCTTGCGGGCAAGGAGGCCCTGCTGGTACACTTTTGCCCCCTGGTCCTGGCAGACGGTCAGGAAAGGGTTGGTTTTCCTCTGGCTGTTGGTGGGGCTCAAGAGGATCTTGGCATCGACCGTCTCGTCCTCCTCATCCCTGCAGGGAAGGAACAGAAATTTGGCACAGGCTGCATATGGGGGGGGGGGGGGAAGCCATGTAAAAGAGGGGGGGCGGGAAGGCTAATTTTGGATGAATTAATTACACGAAGGGCCAAAATAAGAGGTTGGGAGGGAAAAAAAATCTGTCTTTAGAGTGGAATGGAAGAAAATGCTACTCAGTCTTAACCTGCAGATGCTTTTCCAATGTAGAGCCAGTTTGGTCTGGTGGTTAAAAGTACCAGGTTAAAAAGCAGGTGACTGCGAATCCAAGTTCTGCCTTAGACACGAAACCGGTTGGGTGTCTTTGGGCCAGTCCTTCTCACAAGGAGGTTGTTGTGGGGAAAAGAGGAGGAGGAGGAGGAGGAAGGAAGCGCGTTGAATATGTTCACCGCCTTAAGTGATTTGTAAAACGAGCAAAGGTGGGATAAAAATTAAATAAAGAATAAAAGTAAACTGAAGGAAGTATGAAAGGCAGCCTTCACAATTCGAAAAAAACCCCCGTGTTTTTCTGTCATGCCACTTGGGCATTCATTCCTCCTGCCCTCTGGCAGCGTTAAACCTTCGGGGGGGGGGCGGAATCCTGAACTCTTAAGCCCCCTCTTCCCTGAGCGGGCTGACCTGAAGTTGGGAAACATTATTTGGGCCGCCTCCTTTCCTGGGGCAGCACAAGCAGGATCCTGGGGTCAGTTTGAGGCACGATTTAGGCTTCCTGTAGGGGCAAGCAAGCTCCCTCCCCACCAAGTTTTAATTTTTGGAACCGTTCCTTTCTCCTTGTCCTTCCTGACAATTATCCCTACTGAAAACTGCCGAAGTAAAGACCAGGTCACCATAGTCCACCCCCCCATCTCCTTTATAAGGGGGAGGGGAGAGGTCCAAGGGCTCTCCTGCCTTCCCTCTTTGACCTCAGCCCTCCCCCACCCTGCCCCGCCCATCCCTCAGGTATCCGGCTTTTACTTACGTAGCCCATTCCAGTTTCTCATGGCGGATGGAGCTGTACAATGCCTGGATGGATAGAAAAAAGGGCTGAGCTGTAAGGCTTCCTCCCTGCACCTCACCCCCATCCTTCAAGAAAAGCTCCCTGCCCCACCCCCCACCCCCAGAACTGCCGCTTTGGGGGGGGGTCTGCTCTCAAAAGTACTGCCAATCCTTCCTCCGCTATTATTATCAGCTAGACGCCGTCACCTTTCCGGAAGAGTCCAGGCACCCCCTCACCTGGTCTGTGGCTGGGCCCAGCCCTCCGACTGACTCGGCAGACGTCATCAGGGTCGTCAGGGCGTGGATTTGGGGGGGAGGGCGTCTCACCCCCTCCCTGAGGCCAGGCCCTCGATCTCACTAGTGCTTCACGCGGGACTAGTTGGGGGGGGGGGGGGGGGCTTTTGTCCTCAGTTGGGCGGTTGTTGCAGAGGGAAAGTGCGGCTGTGCCCAAACCCCAGGGGTCCTCACAGGCCCCCCTGATGAAGTGGACTCTCCTGCTCTACACAACGGCTGGCGGAGGCCCTTTGGGAGATTCTGCCGTCCCCTTGAAGAAACGGCCCTCCCTGGATCTTCCATTTCCCTTGCAAGCAGCCTTGGAAGTCAACCAAGGTGGACGTGGACATTCCAACAGAAAGGAATGAAACAGCACCTGGGCTTTTTGGGGGGGGGGGGGGGGGGGGGGAGGGAGGAGAGACAGCCATGCCGAATTAGAGCTTCCTCTCCATTGGCCATCCTGGCTAGGCGTGAGGCTCCACAGGCAGAGCGCTCCCTGCCTGCACAGAAGGAGAAGCTGCGCCTACCTTCAGCAGCTCTTTGGGGAAGTCGTTGCCCTCATTGAGGCCTGTCAGATTCACAACGAAGTCCTGACAGCTCATGCTCCGGCCAATGTTCTGATGCCAGAGGTGAGAGAGAGAGACAGAGGGAGAGCTGAAGTTGCTGCACTCTCCATATTGGACCCATATCCGTCCCCCCATATGGGCACCCATAGATCCCCTCCCACAAACAGGGGGCCATCGGAGTGGCTTTCCTCCGTCCAGGGGCCCAGGTGAGAGAGAGGAGAGCCAGGGCTCCTTCCTCCGTCAGCGTCTCCTCACCTGCCCGTGCAAGTCGGTGTTGAGGAGCATCATGGCACAGGTGAGGGTGTGCACGGCATCTGCAGAGCAAGAGGAGGTTCAAGAGAGATTCCTTAGGCTTCTCCCACAACGGACTGGAAACGGCAGCAAAATATCCTCCGTTCGAAGAAAAGGCCAGGAGAAAACGAGCTGAATCTGAAGATTTGCCGTCAGCTGTTCTGTTCTCTACCAGGGGAACCGGAAGTGCTGACTTCCTTCTTCCCTCAGGCAGACATTTTGTGGTGTTCCTAAGTGTCGCGTCTTCTTCCAGCAGGGGCCCCATCCCCACTGCCCACTCCCCCCACCCCCTGCTGCTGGTCCATCCCTCCTTCCTTTTCCTCCCCCCTTTCCCAGCCTTAGAGCTTTCTCCAGGTTTGGCACAGTACGCCTGAGAGGGGATAACTTGAGCCTGGCTCCTCAGGAGGGACCTCCGGATTGAGATGGAGTCAGGCCCCCTCTCTCTTGGCCTTCTGACGGGGCACGCGGTTTTCACTGCCCGGTTCTTCAGGGGTCAACTATCTTGTCCCCTTTCCTGTAGCATCTCTTTTTCTTCCCCCCCAAACTCAAGGTCTTTCCTAGTGTGAAGTCCTGATATTTGTTTCAGAATTGCATTCATTCTCTGTATTTGCTTTGACTGCCTTCCTTGCAGAAATCGTTTCTGCTTGCAGTACCTTGTGGTTTGACTTGCGTTTATTAGAGCCGCCGGTCCCAAGAGACTCTGGGCAGCTTACAAAAAAAAAAACACTAATTCTAAGTTAAAACAATTAAAAACACAGAACAGTCCAGATTAAATTGCTTATCAGTGGAAGGCAGTTTATATATAATTTAATTCTAATTTTATTAATTTTTTTAGTTCAGTTTAAGAGGAAGGCAGTCACTTGCTCCTATTCTTTAAGATTATTATCAGCTTTGCATGTTCTGGTTGTTCTTAGGAAGTAACAAAAAATGCAAACAAACATTGCAGGTTTATTTTCACTTTCCCTTCTTAAGACAGTATCGGTGCAAAGGTTTATTTATATCTCCTCCTTTTATGAGCTTTTCACTAGACGTACAATCTTAGGGGAATTCTTTTAAAGATTCCCCTTGAACCCCCCACCTCCCACAAGCTACACTCCAGTTCAGGGGTCTCCAACCGTGGCAACTTTAAGACATGTGGACTTCAACTCCCAGAATTCCTCAGCCAGCTACTATCCTAAGAGGGAAGTTATTCCACTCCGGATTTTGAGCCTGGGTTTTCTCTGATTGGAAAAGTAAGGATCCCACCTCCAATCCCACCTTTGGGGCCAGAATAAAAGCAGGTGGAGCCCAAGAGCAAAGCTTAGCCCCACCAGGTGTGGGCCGAGCGTCTCACCTGGACTCAGCGAGGCCTCTGGATTGCAGCAATGGTAGCGCTGAGAGAAATGCATCAGGATCCGCTCCCGCTCCTGAGTCTCCCCGGTGAGCACAAAGGACTTCAGGAAGGACCTGCCAAGAGGAGGGGAAGGTCAGAAGGGGGGCTGGGGGGGTTTCCTTTCCCCAGGATTGGAACACAGCAGCAGCAGGAGGAGGAGGAGGAGGAGGAGGAGGCCTGGGGAAGAGCCACCCGCGGGGGAAGGGGACAACTCCTCATGGCCAACTCGGTGCAGGACAATTTAACGATTTTATTTAATTAATTTAATTAATTTAAAAAATAAAAATTAATTGTAGCCCTTCCCATTTCACTCTGCCCCTCCTTTTTGTGTCGTTTCTTTAACGATTCTATTCCACCATTTCTTTGACATTAGCGTAACTCCTGTCCTGTGGTAAGTTGGCCGTGGCGAGTTGGCCGTGGCCAATGGTCATAGACCGATTCTCCCTCAGGGCTTCCGCTTGGCATGGGGACAATACAAGGGGGCTGACATCCTGAGGCCGGGAGGCGCTTCTACCTTCTCCCCACGCTCCCTTTTAATGTGCCGAGAACTGAGGAGACGCAAGGCACAGAGCCTCCCCTGCTCAACGGTTTCAAGGGTTTTCCTGGCATCCAGGTCCCCCCCTGCGGCTCCAGGAAGGCCTCCAAACCAAGCAGGCCTTGACCAGGAGCAGAGCTGCAGGGAGAGGCCAGTCTTTTCTCCCCGTTATCATTTCGGTTGCCCCTTCCCAGCCCTCCGTCTTGGCCTCCTGGACTTGGGAGAGGGAAGGGCGCCCTCCCCCCTCCTCATCAGGGAGGGCAGGAAATGCACATTTGGCCATGGACTATGAAGTTTCACTTCCCCTCTTGAAAATGGGAAGGCAGCCCCAGGGAAAGAGAAGGTTACCTCAGGGCCTGATCCAGAGTTTTGGCAGAGAAGTGGAAGAAGGAGAGGTAGGCCTCAGCGACCATCTGGCTGAAGGGGTTGCTGTGGACAAATGTTCAGGGAGAGCTCAGAAAACTCCAAACGTACCAAAAGAACCCCTCTTCCTCCTCCCTTCCTCCTCCTCCTCCTCTTCCTCCCTTCCTCTTCCTCCTCCCTTCCTCCTCCTCCTCCCTTCCTCCTCCCCCCTTCCTCCTCCTCTTCCTCCCTTCCTCCTCCTCCTCCCTTCCTCCTCCTCCTCCCTTCCTCCTCCTC